TCAGCCCTCTCTGCCCTCAGTGTGAGATACACCTCAGCCCTCTCTGCCCTCAGTGTGAGATACACCTCAGCCCTCTCTGCCCTCAGTGTGAGATATACCTCAGCCTTCTCTGCCCTCAGTGTGAGATATACCTCAGCCCTCTCTGCCCTCAGTGTGAGTTGTTTTCCAAGGGGCTTCTGGAAAAGGATATCAGGTGAGCCCGGGCACACACCATCTTCCCATCCAAGTATCTGGATATGCAAATTCTAGGAAAAAATGCTTGGGATTTAACACCCTTGCAACTCATAATCACTCTCAGTTTTTACTGTTGTTGTTTGTTTACCACATAAACAGAGGTTAAATAATTTGCATAAGATGACATAGCTTATAGAACTGAACCCCTACTATATGCTCTTGTGTATCCCTGACCCCATTTCCAAAGTGGGGGGACGTTTCCTCCCTGGGATGCTTTACTTGACTTGCAGTAAGACACACAGTTTGTCAGGAAGTATTTTTTTATTTTTAAATATTTCCCATGTATCTCTCTGTGTCCTCTTCCTCAGTGCCACTGTGCTGATCACTCACATGTGGTACATGGCCCTTCCCTTCACCCCCATCAGTCCTCGTCTCTGCCTTTCTAGCAGTGTTGCCTCCCGTCCCTCCCATCCCTGGCAACCCACAAAGAAAGTTTCCTTCCATATATAAACCTTTCTTTGTCTTTTTACAATAGTGAATTAATACAATATTTGTCCTTCTGTGATTGACTTACTTCACTCAGCACAATGTCCTCCAAGTTCATCCATGTTATGCAGTGTTTTGCAGATTCTACATTATTCTTTAGTGTTGCATAGCATGCCATTGTGTGTATGTACCGTAGTTTGGTTATCCATTTGATGAGCACCTGGGTGATTTCCATCTTTTGACTATTGTAAATAGTGCTGCAGTGAACATGGGTATGCGTATATCTGTTGTTGTCCTGGCTCTCACTTCTTTAGGATATATACCTAGTAATGGGATTGCTGGATTAAAATTGTATTTCTAATTCCAGCTTTTTAAGGAATCACCATACTTTTTAAGGAATCGCTTTCCACAGTGGTTGTATCATTTTATAGTCCCACCAGCAGTGTATGGTCAGGCAGTCATTTTGTTTATTTGTTTTTGTTAGGTTTTTAATCCAGAACCATTTTTAAATGCTATTAATATAATTGAATAGAATATATCAAGTACTATTATTTACATCCTATTATCTCCAAATTAGTGTTGTTCTCATCCCTCTACCACATCTGTTGTTAGAATGCTAAAGGAACAGTTTGCATTTTTCTAAAATGTCACAGTGAGAGCACCAACTTCTTACAGAACAGTGGTGAGAATAGTGATGACTAACAGGCATGCTCGCTGTTAAAGTGAGCAGAACTAAAGACCATGATTTAAATAATAATGTCATGAAATATTTAGGAAGTCAAATGGCAGCCCTCTTCTCCCTTTCTTGATATATTTGCAGTGTCTTTGATAGCATCTCACTGAGGCTTGTTCTGTTCTTTTTCAGTGGGCAGTGCTGACCTGTGGGCACTGTTTCTGTAATGAATGCACTTCTATTATTATTGAACAGTACAGCGTGGGGTCTCACAGAAGCTCCATCAAGTGTGCCATATGTCGCCAGACCACATCTCACAAAGAAATCTCCTATGTCTTCACCTCCGAGAAAGCAAACCAGGAAGAGGACATCCCTGTGAAGGTAAAGCGGGTAAAGAACAGGTGAAGCACGGTTACTATAATATAATGGGAATCTGTGTCTGGCAAATGAGGGCACTGAAATCAGAAAAGGATCACACAGGGCGTGGGTATAGCCCACTGTTGTCCATCGTTAGACTGCCAGGAAGCCTCAGCTTGACCATCTACTTCTTAATTAGTGGGAAGAACAGAAGAATGCCTTTTCAAACATAGTACTAATGCCCATTGTGGCAAAAAAGTAATGTCTTAGAATTCCTGCTCTTTATTATTGCCTATAGTATCGCTATCCACTACAAATAGATTGAGCTCCGGTTAAATTGGAAATATATTTTTTTAAAAAAGCTTTTTCATTCTTTTACCCTGCCTGGCTATCAGAAAATCAGGATATGCCCATCCAAGTTAAACAAAAAAAATAGATAAGGTACTGAAGTCACTGGAACCCATTGCAAGGAGACAGCTTTTAAACTGCATAGACTGATGTTTTGGGGTAGAGCCATAACTTAGCTTTATTTTCTTCATTCAGAATTGTTGTTTTGTGCTTCATTCAAAATTTTAAGAAAATTACTGTATCTGAGATCAAAACAGAATCCATAATTGGGCCTTCTGCCTAAAGGGTATTTATTTAATGGAGAGCCTTTTACTAGACTTTCTTGTTCTGTTTTCCTTAAATGTGCTTCTTTTGCCCCCTAACCAAGCCTGGACAAAGGGTAGAGCAATACGTAATTGTAGCAGGAACACGGGCCTCAAAAGAGTAGTTCGGGTGAGGCCCACTCTAGGCAAAAGGATGTCGAATCTTCTTCATTAGTTCTTTATCCTTCAGAGTCTTTAATAATGTCTTCAGACTTATTTTTAAGAATTGTGTTTTGTGAGTAGAATCAACTGTAGGTTGAAACTTACTGCTAGGTAGTAAGCAATTCTTCCAAGCACCTCCCACCAAAAAAAAAAAAAAACACGTATAGTTGACGACTGTTTCATTGCTGTTTCTCCCGTTGTTACCTGAGTAAATCCTGAAAACAGCAGTGGTGTTGCTATCTCTTGTGTTGCGATAAACAGAATCCCAACGTTGCACAGAATTTGCATTCCTTCATTCCACACATACTCATTACCTACATACTGTGTGCTAGGCAATGTGCTGGGCCTCACAGAGGCAACATAACTTAGGGGGTGAAACAGACGTGGCTGCTGCCCTATGAGTTGTACAGAGCTTGGTGGGGGATGGGGTGGGAAAGGAGCTGGAAGCACAGACATTAAATAAACAATCAGTGTATAATCATTGTGAAAAACACAACAGAAGAAACTCAGACCTGGCTTCTCTGAGGGAATGACAGTAAATGGATGACTAGATTAGCCAAGCCAGGGAGAAGGTGGAGTGATTTAGCGGGGAAGAGGCTCCAGACAGAAAAAAATACAGTCTGTGTCAAGGCCTGAGCCAAGAAGGCACTCAGATGGAAGTGAGTGGCTGGAGTGTAGAAGGAAGAGGGAGGATGAAATGAAACGAGTGTGGAGTCAACAGCCATACCTCCCTGAACGCGTCCAATCTCGTCTGAAATCAGTGTGGAGACTTAAGAGGGGCTACATGTGGAAAGGTCATGTGAAGATTTGAGAATTTTATTTTCAGAAAACTGTTAAATATTATAAGCAGGCCATGATCAGATCTGGATTTGTAAAAGAACCCTCTTGCTCTCTGTATTTTTTGCACAATTTTTCTGTAAACCTAAAACTGCTCAAAAATATTTAAAAAAAAAAAAAGAAGATGATTCCTCTTGCTGCAGTATGGAAAATGGATTAGCTGAAATCAAGAAGAATGTAATAGAAGAAATTTGGAGAGTTTGAGGCCACTGCGATAGTGATAATGGCTTTGACTAGGTTGGTGGCAGTGGAGATGGAGAGAAGTGAATCAATTCAACAGTGATTTAGCATGAAGTTGATTAGTAAGATAGAATGTGGGAGGGGTGAGTGAAGAAGCAGATTTTATAGATGACCCCCTGGTTTTTGACATGAAAACTTGACATGAAAACCTGGGTGGATAGTGGTACTAGTACTAAGATAAGGAATTTTGAAAGAAGAGAACATTTTGCCATGTTATGTTTGAGGTACATAAAACCTCCAAGTAGCACTATGCAGCACACAGATCAGTATGTGAAGCTGATGATGTAAAATTCAGAGTCATTCGTGTAAATAATCTTTGGAGCCATGGGAATGAATGAGGTTACCTCAGGAAAGATACATAGAAGAAAAGCTGGCTTCAGGTCCTGGACAGCTCTAAAACTTTTTGAAGGTTAAATAAAGAAGGAGAAGCTAGAAAAGGAGATTGAGAATCAACAACCAGAGGCACATGTAATCCAGGAGGGTATGATGCCAACAGAGGCCTCATGAAGTCTCTTGTTTAATAATGAGGCAATTACCAGTTGTAGTCAGTGATATTGAAGGTGGGTCAACTACACTGAGGACTGATTTGGCTAAGGTAGCAATTAATGACTTCAGAAGGAGCTATTCAGTGGAAGTGTAGAGGCAGAAAGCAGATTGGAAGGGGCTGAGGGGCAAACAGGAAGTGAAGAAGTCGAGAAAATGGACAGCTATTTCATGAATTTAGCTGGAAAGTAGACCAAGAGTTACAATGTGCAGGATGTATGAAGTACAGGAAGACCTTGTGTTTTTTGGTTGGTTGGTTGTATTTAAGATAGGTTCTTGAGCATGTTTAATCTCCAATAAAGAAGGATAAAGTGAAGACACAGGAGAGAAAAGTGATATCCTGTAATTTAAGCTTCTTACAACGATAAGAAGAGTACATAGAGAAAATGCAGACGTCTCAGGAAACTCAAAGAACTGGTGTATGTTGGGGTGCTGGTGCAAAGCAAGCTATAAGGATGGGTGTCCTTATCAGAGGATTGTGTTGTGTGCACTGAAGTCAATTCCATCTCATCATCATTTCAGAGGAGACAGATATTAAGTGTTCTGGATGTGTAGAACTGGTGGCCCAAGTCAGGTGGAGGAGAGAATGTTAGAGGATGAAGAAACTCTGAAGCCTGGATGTGAATGCATTGACTATGTATTTAAAATCTGGAGTTGAAGTAGAGTTAAAGATTATGAATTGAAAACCAAAAGTCCTTTAGTGGATGAAGGGTATCTTTCAGTATGTGATAGCAAAGGGTCGTGGTAGGGGTTAACGACATGAGGCTCAATGGAATGGCACTTTTCACAAAAATGAGAAATAATGATCTGAAACCTGCGTTGGGGACCAAAGACGATCCTAGTACTGAGGTGCAGGGAGTGTGAGAGAATAAAGAGTCTCCATTCCAGAGCTACTGCGAAAATAGTGTGCTCCAAGACAGCCAGGTGCTAGTTAATACAAGGAAGTGGAGAGCAATGTCACTACAAGACATTAAAAAAAGAGAGAGAGTTTATTGATCATAAAGCGTAAATTCCAGGGGCCACCACTGAAGGGTTCAGGGTGGAATGAGAAAAATGGTTTGGGGGATGGGGACCAGGGGAGACTTGGCACAGGGGTGAATAAGCAGGAACAAACTGCATGGGAATACCTGGGCAAGGACATGTGATGAGAAGCTCAGGACCTAAGAGGTCATCTCATCCTGTTCCTGGCCTGCCTGTGAATCCCCTGGTTGGGTGTGTGTTTTTAAAGTGAATGCTGGGGAGTTGTTGAGTGGAAGTAGGTGACCTATGATGTGATCCGCTGACCAGCCTGAGGCATTCATGTGATGGTTATCCTACTCACCACCCAAGAACTGCTTTCCTTCCCAAGTCCTCTCCCTTCCCCCACTCCCCTCCCCACCTTTCTTCCCCTACTTTGGATTCTCTCTCCCATGTCTTTCTATAAAAATAGCTTTCTTATGTCCTTCTTTGTCTTACCTCTTCCTAGCCTCAGGCATCCAAAGAGCCACATTTGGCATCCTTGGCTGAGAGGTTCTGAGCCTTAGATGAGAGCATTCATCCGGTGCGAGGGGCTGGCCTAAGAAAGAAATGCTGTGTCAGGCTCTGGGCAGGGAGTTAGGAAGTGATTGCTCTGGCGACCAGTAAACAGCACAGCCTCTATGGAACTGAGTCATTGCACGCCTATCAACCCAAACACCTGTTCACTTTATGGCAGCTTCCCTAGACACCCAGGAGAGAGATCAGGGCAGTTACGTTTGCTATGTTGGGACAGGGTATCAGGGTCAAATACTGCTTTATTGTGCTCTTCTTCCTGTCTTTTCATGGGTATTGAATTAATTGAATTAATTGTGAATTAATTGAAGCATCTGATAAAAAATATTATTACAGAATTTGCTGATACTAATCATTTCCCCGTCACATTGTGTGTATACTTGTGTTTCCTTTTTATTGGACATCTGACTGAGCAGTGAGCCTCTTATGCGAGCACACTTTATCCCTCCCCACACTCTCACATTGTTTCTTGTTGCATTGGTTTTGCCTCTCACTGCCTTTTCTGTCACTTTTTGTGTCTGCCATTTCTGACTTCTGTAATCTGTCACCTTCTCTGACTTCTGTCACATTTCTGCCCTACTGTCTGCCACTTACTCATTGAAGCAGCTGCTTTTTCTCAGAGCGACCTTACTCTTATGTCTGAAATGTCCCCACATGTCCTCTCTTGGAGTTGGGAAAGGAGTCATATATAAAATAAAGATGGCTCTGTGAATTAGTAAAGCATTATTTCAAATTTTAGAAATACTAGTTCAAACTATACCTAATCCCACATTTTTTTTCTTGTAATATTGTTGATTAGTAAGCCTCTGATTTTTAGTAAACAATTCTGAAAAGTAATTTTTGAGTCATTTGAAGTTTTACATTGATCTGATGTGCTTTTTCCCCTGTAAGTGTTCATGTTGAGACTCAGACAGAGCATATCATGTCTCATAGATCGTGCTTGTTCATATGGCTGGTCCGCAGATAAAAAGTATTTGGAGGATATAGAAAGGGTGTGACATGGTAGTAGACTTCTTTCCTGGTGGTATTTTTGGAAATAAGAGATTTCATAGTGTAAGGAAT